GCAGTCGACGGCAAGATTGGCCGCAAGGCTCCGGCGAGAAGACGATTATGTAGAGAGTGGATATCGGTGAGGCTCCGGCAGGGTAGAAGAGACGGGAATTTAGGGGCATTCATCTATATATATATATATATAGGGGTTGGTTCAAATAAAAACTAGTGCTGGTGTGAGAACCGTGAGAACCATCTTTGATGTTATTTATAATTTTGTATAATGCTATGTTTAACACACATGGTGTGCTATCATTTTCACAAATGTTAATATAAATTGTGTTGTTTTTTTAATAAAATAAATCTATGTTAAAAATAGAACTAAAACACAATTAATCATAGCACTAAGTACAACTAAAAATAGCGGTTCTCACGCTAGGATTTGGTTCTCATTTGAAACAAATCCTATATATATATATATATATATATATATATATATATGAAACGCACAATAGTGATATACCAAACGCACATTGATACGTTCGAAAATTTATATTAGCATAATAATGAATTCCGCACGACATCGCGTGAAATGGATATATTCATGGTTTAGAAAGTCGGACCAGAATCACAACAGTCTGGTCTAGGATGTTAAGCCGTTGGGCCCAACCATTTAGACCGTTCAAAAACCGGTAGAACCGGAGAATCGAGAACGGTTCCAGTGGCCCAGCGATTTTTCAGAGTGGTCTATTCTGATTTCTTGATAAAAAACATTTCGATGCTTTGATGTTTGTCCAATGTGAGACGGATGCTTTTTCCTCTAACTTCCTCATATTGCACCTTTTTGCTTGTGTTGTGGGCCAAAAGCCCAATGATCACATTTCTTGGGGTGCAGTTCTTAATTTTTTTATATACACGTATACATTTTGAAATTCAAAACAAAAGCCCAATAAAAAAATGAGATATTATATTATTAGTACAAACTTACAAAATAAATACAAAAAACTTACTTTTAACACTTTAATGTTTAATCATAATGATAAAAATATATGCAATTATATATTATACATATAAAACTAATGATAAAAAATATATGTATATAGTGAAGTGTCATTATACACTATAAAACAAATGATAAAAATATATGCAATTATATATTATACATATAAAATAAATAAATAAATTATATGTTAATTAATGGTTCGACCACTGATCCAACCAGTGAACCATTGAACCAGTTGTTTCACCAGTTCGATGACCGGTTCGGTTTTCAAAAGATTAGGTCCTTTTCATTTCAAATATGTCTATAGCCCAAATGTCTCACATGAGAATCAAATTTTAAATAAATTATATATTAATTAATCTTTTTCCTATTTTAATTGTAAAACAAATGTGGCTCTACAAAGAGAGATATACTATTTAAACTACAAGCTCTTTGAAATAATTATGAGTTTGTACATTGCACTTATTTGTCATTTGCAACCTAATCTTTTTTAACCACTAACTTATAATATATGAACTTCATATATC